TTGGGAAGAAGGGTTAGGGTGAGGCCACTGAGGTCATCCTGGCTGAGTTCACCTTAGTCTGGATGAAGGGGGAAATAGCCACTGGAGATTTGCGTAGGTAAGTATGTGGAAGGCTCTATTAGTTTTGGAGGCTACAGAAAGGTCCAGTGTACTTATCATCAACTCCTCCCAAATAGTTTCTCCAGATGTCCCATCCCTCGGTGGTTTGCTGAATCACTGTCTAAAATGGTTCTGGCTGTCTCTTTCCTCATCTCCTCCCAATGCAGCATTACTGCTCTCTCTTCTTGATATGAGAAGAAAATTGATGAACATTCCCCAAAAAGTTTTCAAATGGGTTTCTTGTTCTACCCTCATATATATACCTTTTTCTTGTTAATTACACTTGCCTAAGCTTTGTATTGCATTTCTGTGTGACTAGACCGTCTTTTTCCATTACGTGGGGGGTGAGGAAAGAGATGACACATTTTATTTAGGCCATTCAAGCCCTGGGTGAATAACTTAGTTGGTTTGAGTGTGGTCTTGATATGCCAAGGCTGTCAGTTTGATGCCAGGTCAGGAAGCATACAAGAATCAAGCAATGAATGCAGAAATAAGTAGAATAATGAATCAATGCTCTTTCTCTCAAATCAATACATTAAAAATTTAAAAATGTAGGCATTCAAGAGATGGCCATTAAGGAGCGATTAACGAAGGAGCTATTTTTGAGGTTGTGGACAAGTTTAAATGAGACCACTCAGGAATGGTGGAGCACCTTAATCTCCCTGGTCTCTCACCCTCTGATCTGCTACTGGTGCCTCCCATTGACCTCACCCAGTTGAAAGCCCTGGATTGCTCCTCAATGCAGGTCAGCCTCTAGAGCACAGACTTTGATGTGTGTGTCTGGATAAACAAAAAGAGAATATTCAGCGCTTGAGTTATTTCTGGAAAATTATCATTTTGCTAACACTTTTGGACTTCTTTCTTATCCGGTCAGTTAATGTCTGCGGAAGTCCAAAACTAATTGCTGTGTAATTATGCAAATGAATTAGGGAACTGACATACAAAGTGAAAGAAAAGAATCAAGGGCTCCCATGCATTTGCTTCTTATCCATAGGCTTAAGCAGAGCACAGGAAAGTGAATCCACTGCGCTGCCTAGCCCTCTCTTGTGGTCCCAAGTGCAGTGTAAGTGAATCTGGAGTAATGTGTTGTGAATTCTTCAGGCCAGATGCAGTGAACGGAGGTGCTCATCATATTAAAAGTTATTATTTTTGTTATTATGGTTCTATTTCATTTAGGCTGTTTCTTCGTTTTATTTGTTTCTATCCTTACCCCAATTATCTTGTTCTATCTCTATCTTCTCTTGCCACTTTAAATAAAGTGCTATTGTAATTAGCTGAGAAATTATCTGTGTTTCTTACACTCTCCTTCCAGAGTGAAGGAGTTATAGGCTAGTTTTTTAAGAGTGTGGACATTCTAAAGAAAATATTTTAAAGATGGACTTCCTATATAGCCTGCTCTCCCTTGATCCTCCACCTTGCAGTGTAGTATGGAACCCTCTTTCATCTCATGGAGGATGTAGATATCCTTCCAAGTTTGTGAGTGACTCCATCTCTGCCTCATAGAATCTCTTTTCCCTGAGTTCTCATTCCACCTCTTTATCAGACTAACTTCTGGCATTCCTTCAGGTTTCATCTAAATGCCATATTTTTCCCTCAGAAGCTTCCTCTGATTCCCTAAAACCAGGATAAATCTGTTGTGGAGTTTACTGTACTATAATTAATCTCGTTTATCTGCTTTTGCCTCTAGTTCATAATAAGCTCCGGAAGGGCAGGAACAATAAGCCTCCTGTTCACCTCTATTCCCCTAACACCAAATGTGCAGTAGGCAATCGTTATATAATCACCTGGTGGAAACTGAGTCTAATATAGCCAAAGACCAATCAAGCTGAAACCAGGGTGGTTTGGAAATCCAAGAGCTTTATCAGTCATAGTAGGCCACCTCACACTGTAAGCTTTTTAAACAAAGTCTTCTTGTTTACTTTTTGGTCAACAGTAGGTTTAAAGTTGGAATTTTGCATTTAGCTGCAAGTATAGTGAATTATAACCTTACTGCAACTTACAAAAGCTTTAGAAGATTTGGCAAATATTTTTGCCTGCTGCATTTCTGTAACTATTTATTTTGGGAAGAGGTTGCAAATTTAACTCTTTTCACGGTCCCTTTCTTGCTTTATTTCTGTCTGAAGGAAACTGATATGAAATTAACTTTAGCATTCTTTGTTCTTTGTTAACTCCATTATTGAAACAATGTGGAAGAAACACTGGACTTGTGCTCATAAGCCCTAGATTCCAGGTCCTAATTAACCAAGTTTTTACATCTGTAAAACAGAAATGATAATAGTACCAATTGCATAGGCCTGGTGTGAGCATTAAATGAGATGATCCACATAAAACATTTAGTGTAGGACAGTAATTTTCAACTAGTGTGCCACAGGAAATTTTAAAACATGCAATACCTAACTGCTTAGTCAGGGGGCACTGACCTCTTTTCCCTTAGATTGTCAAATAAAAAAAAATGACAACAGCTAACACAACAATAGCTGCCTGGTATGAATGAATCAAAATTATACCTATTTTTTTGCCAGATTGGCAAAAAATATATTTTTTGGTGTGCTATAGAATTTTAGTAATTCGTTTATATGTGCCATAAGACGAAAAAGGTTGAAAATAGCTGGTGTAGGGCTTGGCAAATAGTAGATGCTCATGAAGTGATGGTGGTGGTGGTACCATTGGTGATGGTGGTGTTGTTGGTGGTGCTGTTGTTGTTGTTGGTGGTGCTATTGGTGGTGGTGGTGATGGCAACAATGATGATGGACACTGAATTAATATACCTAAATAGTTGCTGTTTTATATACATCACAGGATTGGGACAGCCATGTAAAAATAAGAAAAAATATGCGAAAGCACTTTATAAACTATTTAGTGTACAACATTAATACTAGTAATGATGCAGTGATAAATAATGATAAAAATAAATGTTGTATGGGTAATTAACCCCATTCCAGTATCACTCAGCTCTGTTCTGGAATATTATTCTCTATTTTTCTTTCTATTCCTTATTGTAAAGTCAAGAGTTATAAGTGGGAATGGAGTTTAAATGAGCCAGCCAACCACTCATCAAATGGTTAATTTTTCTAAACTTGATATATCAGTTTCCAAAACCTGAAAAGTTAATTTCACATTCACAGACTCTTTTACCTTTAAAGTCTTGAATGCCAAGAAAGTTGTTGATTTAATTTTACATTTGTGAAAAGTAACACTTAGTTGGCAAATAAATACTTCTGAACTACAGGAGATAAGCTTGCTATAAACTTGCAAGTCATTGCTGCTGGTTTAGTTGTTTTTTTCTTTTAAAGAAAAGGCTTTTGGTTGCTTTCATTCTTATCACAAACAGCATGAGTTCCCAGATAGCCAGCTGTGCTGGGGTCCCCAGCCGGAGAAGTTCATTGAATTCTCGATGGGCATTTTCCTTCAGAGGGGCTTTTGTAAGGAACCTCTAGGCTTGCTAGAATTCCAACCAGAGCTAACCAGAGCTAACTCTGGTTGGAATGCCACTGAAAAAAGAGACATTTCTGAGAATTTAAGTATGTGGAAAATTATTTGGATAACATCAGAACTTCAGCTTTTTACTTTATCAAATTGGACTTAACAGAACCATTCTTTCGTTGCATTCTTTTGTAGCAGTATTAATGAGAAATGAGTACATGATAAAAGACAGCAAGGAAAAAGATAAAAACAGAATATGGAATATAGTGAGTCCCCACTTAACATTGTCAATAGGTTCTGCTATTTTAAAGGAAACGACCAACAGGGAAATCAGTTTTACCACAGTTTACCACAGGGTAATTGATATAAACAAGAGTTAGGTTCCTATGGCTGTCCTGAGAATTGATAATCAGCCTTTGAAGGAGTTTGAACCTCATGTTTTTCAGTAGATGCCGTCTGAAAAGTTGTCTGCTAACCAAAGTCATAAAATATTAGATTTGGAAGGTGCCTTGAAGTCCATGACTTAACCTCCTGCCTTTGCTCAGGAGGAGACATTCTTCAGTTACCGACAAGCACTCCTCATATGCACGTGTTATGCTCACTCCGCTTTTCTGTATATCTCTTGTTAGTTCTGGGTTATCACATAAACACTTACCAGCAATCAGTATAATCAGTGTTGGCAAAACATAAATGTTAATGACTTTTAATCAGCTAGGCTTTCAGGAAACTTGGGCTGATGCCTGGAATAGTCCTGCTTAGAGATGAATGGTGCAGCAAGCTTTAAGAATATTTATTCTAATTAATGATGGTGATAGAAATGGCAACCGCATTCTTAGTGACAGAAGAAACTACGAAGTCATGTGTTGCGTGGGCATGTGGGTGTGCATCCTGACCTCAGTAAGTGTTTCACATTCTCAGCTTTCTTGTTACATTTCCATCTGGCTTCTGTGTTATTCAGCAGCAAGCCTGAGTGTAACACAAGGCCTCTACAAAAAAGATATTACTGGAACAAATAAACCGTACCACTGTAGAAACTGACCACGAACCTTTCCTCAGTACATGGGGATGTGGGGCATCTTTGCAATCTGTCTATCCTGGATGCCCTAGTGTGGACTGAAACTGACCAGTTCTCTCTCATAACTAAAGCCCCTTGGGTCATGGGCCTAACCCCTGTCCATCTCTTTCCTTTTGCTGCTTTTCCTGATCAACAGTATGAGATTTGGTGCCCCAATGCCTGAGAGAAAGTTAGGATATTTCTACTGCTGGTAATCTAGGTCAAAATAGTTAGAACCTACGCATTCAGTTTTTCTTTTTTTTTTTTAAGGCCATTTTGCCACTTAAGCCCTTTTTTTTAGAAGACATTTGCGATGAATAATAAAGGTAAACATGAAAATGAATTTTATTAAATATGAAAAAAGAACTGCAGTTCAAGAACTATGTTCACCTAAAAATATCTACACATCCATTTTGGATTTCAGGATCTCACACTGGAGCTCAGATCCGTGATCGCCCTAAAGACCTTTCCACGGACAGATGAAATGAGCACTGTCAGGGCTCCGCTGTCCAGTTTCACTGAAGTCCTTCTGCTGGGACTTTCCCCCTACACCTCCACAGCCTCTGTGTGACAGACACTCTTCAAGACTCTTTTTGAGGGGAGTTCACCGTGTGCCAGGCTGGAGAACACACGGAAGAGCCTGTGTAGGAGTGCCTGTGGATGATGACGGCAGAAAACTGCGGATGTTTGTGACCTTCACTTTATTGGACATTTCCGGGGGTGGTCTGGGGGGCAGCTACTGATGGGTGGTATTTTCTTAGAAGAGCAGCAATTGTCACTCCTTAGCTTAAACAGCATGGGGAACTCATTCACCGTCACCTTGAGATATGAGGGGAGGTGTGGGGGTGGCCTATAAACAAATGGCTTTGCCCTGGCTTCCCAGAGCATCCCTATGCCAGACAAACAAGCTGGGCTGTTTTCTAGTGTGCTGGCTCCTTCTAGTTATGTGTCTGTCCCCCACATCGGGTCTCTCCCCAAGGTTGTGTAATTACTACTCTTTGAGAAGCATTTTTATTTTTCTGAAATTATGACCTTTTCTCAGTTTTAGTGTTAAATGTTCTTCTTTCATAAAATGTTGGTGATAATAAATGGTATTTCTTGTTTTCAACTGCCCACTTGGCAAAATTGGCACTTGGCAGCCTTCTGCCAATTCTTCACATTGTTTTTGTATTTGTTTAGTTTACTGGTTATTGAACTCCCAAAGTCTGGAACACCAGTGTCCTCAGGGCACAGGTGACCAGGAAAGCTCACTGGTGAAGAAGGATCTCATACAAACTGTAGACGAGGCTATAAAGTGCCAAAGGAAGGGAGCAGGAAAGAGGTTAAGTCAAAGAAAATGAGATTAGGTAGCAAGGAATGGGCCTTGCAAAACCCTGGCAGGGCAGGAGAGAAGAGGCAGCCTCAGAGGCAGAGTCCTCCTCGCACAGGGACCAGCTGATGTGAGCACAGGGCTCCTTCCCCAGAGCATGTGGGTGGTCCTGGGCCTTGAACTGAGGAAAAACAGAGAAAATAGGTAAGCATTTTAAAAATATGATCTTTTATACGTGTTTAATTTTTTTTTCTTTTCATCCAAAATGTCAGATGTTTTTCCTTTTTTTGTATTTAAACCACTTTATTCTTCCAAGAAAGAATATTAATATTTAAGTACATATAGATAAGATGTAGCATCAGCCTAAGTACCCATTAGTAGGTGAATTAATTAAATGTGATACACTTACACAATGGAATACTATGCAGCAAAAGGAAAGAAGAAGGAATTCTTACCCTCTGTGACAGCATGGATGGAACTGGAGACTATTATGCTAAGTGAAATACCAGTTGGTGGAAGACAAATACCATATGATCTCACTTATGAGAGGAATCTAATGAACAAACAAGCAAAATAGAACCAGAGACATGGAAACAGGAGGGAGACTGACAGCTGCCAGAGGAAAGGAGGGAGAGAGGGAATGGTGAAAAGAAGGGGAAGGCATTAGTCAAAGAATAGGTATGAATCCAATGGTTTTCTAAATGGAAAGTTGACTTTTCTCTAAAAACATCTTACCCAATATCAATCACAATTGCCGATCTAGCATTGGGAGAAAATCCCATTTACTAGCATCTTCACCTAAACCCGATATTGTTAATGTTTGCAACTCTTGCACCCAATAGTAATGGATACAAACACAGATAACACATTGATTGCTGCTGTCATCTTCATTTTCTTAATTAGTAGGGATTCAACTTCTTCTCTTATGTGCAGGGGCATTTGTACTTTTTTTGAAATTGACCATTTAATTTTCCAAGGTCTCACATAGCAGACAGCTCCAGGTAATTAAGTTTTGTCAAAGAATAGAATATGCCTCCCCTCAAACCCCTTTTTTGACTTTACCTATCTACCCACCTACTCTGAGAGGTTAAGAGCTTGGTCTTGTATTTAGAGAGCCTGGGGTCAACACTTGGCTTTACTGCTTACTGTGTGACCTATCTCTTAAAGCTTTAAGCACATCATCAATAATATGTAGATAACAGAACCTGTTCCATGGAGTTATTATGAAAATTAAGTGAGGAAACTGCATGTATAGGGCTTAGTACAAGATTTGGCATGTTATATAAATGGTAGTGATTATATTCAATAAGAAGAATTCCAGACTATTAATTATAAAGATCAACTCCACCCCAATTAGTGTGATTCTTTCTCTTCAAACTCAAACCCACATCAGGCATAGATAGTCTGAGGCTTCTATTTTGAGCTGCTCTGAGTTACTGTAATTCCTTTTGAGATATTTCTGCACACTAATGTAAGTGCTCACTTTGCACTTATGGGTTACCTCTTGTAAACAGTTCAGAAATTTGAAAGTATGTTACTAAGTTATAAAAGGTTTGGGAATTGTTGCTATGTGGTATCTTAACTGAAGCAAAGTACAAAATTAACCAGAATCACAATAATAACTTGGTGTTGTAAATTACAAGAGCAATAACTAAGGTGAATAAAGATTGAGTATAGGAGAAAGAGAATGAATTTTCAGTTTTCTGCTAGAACATTGTGGAAAACTATTTGTCATTATTGTTAACAATTATAATAATAAGGACATGATCATATAATTAAATACTACCTTTATAAAATAGTTTATGGCTAAAGTCATTTCATAAAAGCACAAATTGGTAATTTCTCTTAAGAATTCTATTAAGAAAATGTACTACTTTGAATAATTATGAGAAAATAGGCAATGTTCCTTCTTTTCCTCTTATTACCAAATTATAATGTATAAGACTATAAAACATTTCATAAAGGAGTTATAAATGTCACTCCAGTTTCTCTTACCAGTAATTTTTATTTTATGAAACTGGAATTTCTATTAAAATGCAATAGGTAGAACTAGAAATTTATAGTAATGATCTTGATAGCTCCATGCTTCAGAGACTTTTTCCCCTTGATCTCCAAAATTTACATGGGATTTTGAGAGAAAGCAGATGTTATGTCCTCTTGGTGAATATCAAATGCATGTGACCGTGAAGGAGCTCATTGCGTGAAAGCATACAAGAAACCAGGCTGGTATGCTAATCCAAGTCCTCAGTTCCCAAAATTGGACCCCTGGAGCTCAAACAAAACCAGAGCTGAAGCAGTTAGGTTGATGATGACCTCAGCTGCTCAGTTTTTTTCATCTCGAAAGGCTGTATTAGGCAACTCTGGGAGATGAATAAAAAAAAGCGTTGGGATTTATACTTCTAATTTTGGGGGGCCTTTCTTCATTATTATCACATATGTTTAATATCAATTAATCTTCAGAGAATGGCAGAATGAAGGAGATGAAGTAGATGGACACAATTCTTTATTCTATAAGAAATTTATTTTATAAATGGGAATGTCCATTGGGTGATACACACCCAAATGTTTAGAATCTGGGCATGTTTTAGGACCTGGACATGCTTAGTATCAGGCCCTCACTGAGGAAAATCTGGCATCTACAGGCTAGATGGAAAGGAACATCAGTGGAGACAAAACTTATCTTAGTGGCCTGACACCATCAACCCTGTTAGCTTGGGAGCTGGTTGTTTAATTAGGATCACAGGATGAGGTGGACGATGAAAATCAACTCAAGTCTCTGTTACAGCATTGTTTTGTCTTTCTGATTCTTCTATATGCTGTTCTATTGCAGCTTTGACAAGCTCCGTGGAAATTAGATGAGATATTATTTAAAAAGAAAAAGAAGAGGATGTAAAAAAAGGTATATGAAGGGGGAACTAAAAAAGGAATTTATTATAAAATATTGTGTATTTTTCTTACATGTTTAAACTTCAGTCATCTTCAAAGTACTCTCCATTTAATGTAATAACACCTATCAAGACTGTTTTTCTCCACTGCTCAAAACAGTTTTTGAACTTGTCCATTTTGATGCCTTTTAGTGCTTCTGCTGTTTTTCGTTTCTCCTCTTCCACATCAGCAAAATGTTTCCCTTTGAGGACTTTTTTCATCCCAGGGAACCAAAAAAAAGTCACTTGAGGCAAGATTGGGTGAATAGGAAGGGTAGGGCATGGGGGTCATGCTGTTTTTCATCAAAAACTGCTAAACACACAGTGTGGTGTGGGCAGGTAGACTCCATTATGAAATAGACAAATGTGTTGAAAGTCTTCAAACAAATTCACTCAAGCTGAACACAGCCTCTCACAAAAACGCCAGCTGGTACACTGATACAGATGGGTTCCTAGAACACTCACCTAGTGAGGGAAGCCTGTACTACTACAAGGGCCTGCCCTCCAGAAGATAATTGTGGGTTTCTTTGGGTCCCCCGTTGTATGAAAGGGAGTGTGTTAACAGAGGTTTCCTTTCAAATAATGAGCAAAATGGAGAATTTGGCTTCTCAGAAAAAAAGTAATACAAAATTTGAAATGATTTTAATTGAAAGGTACTCTTTAGTAAAAGAACACTTTCTGTTATATAACAGGACAAAATAAACATGATCATGATGTGTGTCTGACCCAGAGTGTTACAATGAATGATACAACTGTAAGGAAACCAAACTTCAACATTCTCATCAAGGTCTAGGTGCTGGTGCTGCTAACAACTCTAAAGAGACCCCAGGCATTTGGGGCCAGGTTTCCAGGGCACTGTACTGTACCTTTGAGTGAAAGCTAGTCCCAGAACTCCCATTAGAGGCAAGATATAACATGCTACTGAATAAGATCTCCTGAGGGTAGGACAGTGCAAGGTAGCACGGGACAATGGTAAATGTCTAAGCTGTGCGTAGAAGATCCATGTCTTAGTCTCTGCTTCATTCTTATGTATCTGTGAAACTATGGGGGAATCATTACACCTTTTAGTATCCCAGTGTCTGCTTGTGACCCCTTTAAATCCTAGAAATGTTAATGATTTGCTAGTTTTGACAGTCAACACTTAGCCTCTTTCTTTTTTTCAGGAAGGATATCTATGTTGTTCATTTATAAAGTGAAAAGTTTAAATGTCTAATGTTCTGTTGGTTTACTCATATGTACTTGTATTTCAGCAAATGAAAAAAACACAATTGACATTTAAATTAAGCATTGTAGACATTGTGTCCATGTTTTCTGAGGCTATATTTCTGTAGGAATGAAGAATATTCTTTGATATCTGGAATATGACCAAAATTCCACAGAAATAGGACAAAGCAAGGCTTCGCCTACTTGCCAGAAGATTGGATTTCATTAAATGCATAATATTTCTGGGGTTTTTTGATCTCAAACTCCACCCTGCTGCAAAAATGCAATTTGGGCCAAATACCACATCCAGGGATGAGGCAAATTTAATTTCTTTTCACTCTGGATGAAATACAACTGATACATTTTTTACTATTTTGGTGCAGTCTTCAGTAAGGATCATTATCCTATTTAATCAACAATATTTTTCAAAATGGTGTTGGCAGTAAAGATAGCATTGTAAAAACGATA